TATTGATTTCTTAATTTTGGGTTGGAAAAGTGGGGGTCTTGTACATGGGGGCGTCTTATTGTCAGAAAAATATGGTACATTTTTTGTTACTAGAAGGTAAATATACTCTTTAAAGTAAGTTGCATTAATGCAAAAAAAAAAAAATTAACATGATAACTTTCTAAACAAAAAGAAAATTGATCTTTTTGTATAAGTGCCATGCTCAGGGGTCATGAGATTTGAAAGGACATTTTGGCAGGTTAAGTAGTATAAATCATCCTGGGAGAATTCAATAATAGCTGTAAACCATTTTAAAGTTATGAAAGTAAGTGCCAAATACATCTTCTAGAGAAGAGCATTCTAATAATTGAGTCACTACCATCTAGAAGGTTGTTTTCTCCAATGCCACCCAAAAGAGTATCTCCAGTGATTATTCCAGTATATGCAGTTGCAGTCGAATGTTTCCTTTTTCGCCCAGAATTGTATCACTGCTCCAATCAGCCAGAATATTTTCTTCTTTCTTTCTACTCCTTTAGATACTTCTATACATTGGCTTTCTAGCTTGAATGTATGGAGTTCTTCAGAAAGATGCTAACACTCATATGACATACTTTCCTGTTGCTCACTGAGTGGTAGAAACCATTTTCTTCATGAATATACTTACTAATTTACAATAGCCAAACTAAGTTGGTGGTTCTTCTGTTTGAGCTGTGGCAACATCTACTGCCTTCCTCAGAATGACACTCTTAATTTATATTAAGAGAGTCATCAAGATGTTAACTATTACAGGGATACTGTTTTAGTGATGTTTTTAAGGATTTCACTATTTTAGTCAATATAGTATTGTTTTATTTCTGTTGACTGCTGAGAGTCACAAAATTTTAACAGTTTAAAAGTCTAATATATAAATAATTGTCATTTGGCAAAGTGGACTCAGTCAGCTACGTTTGTCCAGCACTATAGATTAAATGCAAGTTCTTAAGAGGTATGTTTTATAGCTAGGCAATTTTCTCCAGTTTTCTTTGAACTGAATTATTCCCTGTCAGTCAGTGTACTTTGTCTACCATTAAGGATATCTGCCATAGTTTAAGGCCATGGTTCCCAAACTGTGCACAGGGGTGCTACGTAATATTTTAAATTTTTAAGGGAAATACAGCAATACAGGAAATCTGTCAGACACTGAGTGAACTACTAGCTCAAGGTAACCCACAGTTTTGGCCTAGGGGTGCCATGAAAAAATTACTGAGACATTAAAGGTGTCATGAACCAAGATAGTTTGGGAATCTCTGGTTTAAGGAATTGAGGTAAAGCCAAGAGGCACTACATTGAGAATGCTTAGGGAGGTTGGGTTCACTTTCTGTGAAAAGCAGTTCAGGAAGGACCATTTCAAACAATAGTCTCTGCAAGTACAATGTCTATTTGTGTGAATGTACAAATGACCACTTAAAACATTTAAAGTTGTAGGAAAGGTTCTGAGGGGGGTTTGTTTGTTTCTGCCTTGGATTTGTTAGTGCATTTAAAAAAAAAAAGAATATTTATGTTGGGGGGAAATAATTATTTAGCAAGGAACTTTTAAAAAATTTTTTTGTTGCAGGCTCTGTGGTAGGAATCCGGTTGCCTGGACCTTCTAAGCTTCCTGAAACATCTGTATGTCAAGCTTCTGCTGTTTCATCTGTGACCTCCACTACCCCAACAACTTCAATTCTGTCCACATCTCCTTCAGTTTTGTCTGCACCCTCACTTACAGATAACACTTCTGTTTTGTCTGGGACATTCACCAGCACAACCACTGCAGTATTATCAGAAACTCCTACCTCTGAGTCCTCTTTAATGCTTTCCATGTCCTCTAATGCTTTATCCATATCCCCTGCTGCTGAAACATCTTCACTTTTGTCCATGGCCTCTACTACTGACATTCCTTTGTTGCCCATGACCTCTTCTACTACACTTGTACCTTCTACTGCTGCAATTTCATCATCCCTACCCTCTTCTATGCCTGTTTCCCCTACCAATAAGTCTCCGTCAGTTTTGACTGTGTCACCTATTGCTACTAATTCTCTGTTGCCTATGTCCCCTTCTAAAATACCTATGTCTCCTGTCATTGAGGGCACTTCTGCTGCTCCTGAATCCCCTGTCATGAATTGGACATTACAGGACATTAGAACTACAGCTGTCCATCCTGCTTCAGTCACTCAAGCAACACCTGTTAATTCTTCAGGTCCTATGTCCCCAACTGGTACTTTGACTCTGAGAATTTCTCCTTCTGGAATAAAAAACAATTCCAATCAAACAAGTTCCCAGTCTAAAATAAGATGTAGCACCAGTGGGCTACAAAGCAATATAAATAATCTAATATCTCTACAGTCAGGCAGTTTTGCTTTGCTTCAGTTTCCAGGGCAGAAGAATGTTCCAAGTTCCATTGCCAAGAAAGTTGCATCTCTCGAGATTAAGATTTCACATAAGAAAAATGAGGTCAGTGCCAATAAGTTAGAAGAAAATTTGATATGTTCACAAGCAGCAGAAATTATTGAGTCAGAAATCACTAAATTGAAAGAAAACAAGCTACCATCACATAACCCAGACTTCCATACTGAAGAGATAACACATAACAGGAATATATCAGATACAGTTGAAAAGGATGCTGAAATGTTGAAGAAGTTACCAAGTTGTGCTCTCATGTTACAGGCTAATATACAATCAGACCACTCCTATACCAGTGAGAAGCAAAAATGTGAGGAAAATGTAGCATTGGTTAAGAAAAACAATCAAGACAAAGATGCTGAACACCCCTTAGATAAAGTTTCATATTATTCTAAGGGTGTATATAATGAAGTTGCAGTTCTTGCCCATGATATATTAGAAGAAAGGTCAATGCAAAATCCAGTTACTGAATCAAAAAAAGCTGAACAGACACCATTAGATACAGAAGCAGGATTGATTATTGAACAGTCCTGGTGGAAACCATGGGGTAAACACAAAAGAAACCTGAATAATACTGAAAAGCTGCAAAAAAAGACTAAACCTCCTCTAGATCCATGGAAAAATGAAGATCCAGAATTACCAAGACAGAACATGAAGGAAAAGTGTGGCTTTGTGACTAAAGAAAAGGACAAAGAAGAAGAAGAAAGTGAGAAGGCCAAGATCACTATTGGAAAAAATAAAAATAATGCATTAGGAAATGAATACATGGATAGTGCTTATGAAAATTTGCATGAAAGAAATACTGGTTTTCAAAGTAACTCTAGCTCTTCTAGCTATGAAAAAAATATTAAAGATATTCAGGAAGATAATCAAAATAAGAAAGATGAGCAAAAGATTAGTAGAACTTGGGACAAAATATCCAGACAATCCTTAGTTGTGCAAAACAAAATCAACATGGATGATGATGAACTTGCAGAGAAATTAACAAAATCCATAGAACAAAATATATGGAAAACCAAGAGTCATAGAAAAAATTCCTCACCTATTATTGATATTACTCGGGATGATACAGAAAAAGATGAAAAAACAGAGGAATCTGCTGATGAGATGATTGATGAAGTATTTGGATATCAAAGTGAGGATACAATGAATGTTGAAACATTGGTAAGTATCCAAGTCTTTAAATTTAAAAAAAATCATAGATTCAAAAATATAGAACTAATCTGATAACTGTCTAATTAACAGGGCATCAATAAAAATGATGCTAGATATTTGAAAATGTCATATAGCTCTCAAAAACAGAAGATTTAGTTTCAAATATTGCAGTATTCTTTCCACTGTGTTTCTAAAGTGATCGTTGTAGTTGTATTTATTTTTGTTCATATAATTAGATTTATTTAATTCATATAATTAGATTTAACCACCCAAAAATAGATGGCTGATTATGTATGGATGAGATGGAGATGCAGTCAACCTTGATTAATATCTTCCTCAAAATTATTACTATTATTAATTCCACCCCCACCCCCCAATACATACATGTCTTGCTGAAATGCCTAAGGCTGGTACATGAATGCTGTCTTGAATTGCCAGGATTGAAATCCTTTCATTCTTGACTTTGAAACATCTTTGGAAAGGTTGTTGATGTTTCCCTTTTGCCTCGGGTGCTTTCCACCATCATGAGAGCTCCTGGAACAGTTACTTTCCTGAAATAGCTTCTCTAGCAAGCAAGGAGGAGCCTTTTGGGGATCATGTTTATGGTTGCCAGTAGGTGAGGCCAAAGTGATAGGGACAGCTAATAAGAGAAATAGTTTCATTTCTGTATCTTACATCCTTTATCTACCAAAGAATTCATGAATTGTTTAAAATTCTGTAATAAAACCTGACCGCCAAACAGGTAGCTAAGTGAAAGTAGCCTTCCTTAATATACTATGAATTTTTTATAGCAGGGATGGGCAGAATATTGATTTTTAAGTCATTCTAATTGTTTTTTACTAGAAATCTGAACTCATTAACTAGAGATAGACATTGAATATCCTGTTAGAGAAGCAAACATATGTTGAACATAACATAATTCACACTAGGACCATTTGAAATTCCTCCATACAAAAATGCAATTCCATTCTTCCCTTAAGCTTTCTTTTTCTGTATCCTGATTTAAAAGAGATAAGTCTTTTAAGCATTGCTGTTGTTAGAAGGTTGGAAATCTGAAATTGTTGCTGGCCTACTGCAGATCATTCAAATCTACCAGTAGTTCTTGACTTTATTTAATATTTTGTGGTCTGTTCAATTCATGATTCTATATATAGCCCTGTTCAGAACTTTCAGGAGCTTACAGAAAGTTTGTCAGGAACCCCACATTATGCAGCTCTCACTGAACCATTACATTTCTAAGAGGAACACAGGATCTGAAGGAACAGAGACCAAATGAGCTAGGAGGCTGAGTTGCAAGAATTTACAGGTGTCAAGAACTGCAAACAGATGCAAGTAATCAGTTTTTCATTGTGATTTCTCTAATTCACACATGGATGTTTAATGGGTTTCTATCTGGAGAAAGGTCTGTCATTAGGTGGCAAAAGAGAATAGAGCACTTTATTTATTTGATTTATAGAGCCATCCAATACATTCATTTCTCTGGGTGGCTTACAACATAAACATAAACAGTACCAGAAAATCAAAAAATAAAACAGCCATACAGACCATACAAACGTTAAAAACAATTAAAAGCCATATAGTACAATCACTGGGAGAGCACAGCCATTCAAGAACAGTAATGGTGGGTGAAATTTGTTGGTTGCGACTATGCATTAAAAAAATGCAGAGGGAACATCCACAGCCATTAAATAGGCCTTGAAAATATGGTGAGATGGTGTCACATCATTGAGATGAAAGGCAAGAGTATAACAGAGACTCAGTGAATGAAGCAGTGTTTTCAATAGAACTGAGGGCTTGGGGAAAACAACAGGTAGGCAATATTATGTTATTAAAGTGAAAAGAAGAAACTGACTATAGAAAAAAGTATCCAGATGAACAAATACCACATCCATATGAAATACAAGGGAGAGTCTCTTCATAAATCACATAGTTCTCCAGCCCAGGAACCTACCTGAGGGCTGTGAAAAAGTCAGCCTTCCATGAAAGGTGAACTGGGGTAGTAGCCAGCAGCTCAAAAGATTTCAGTGTTAACATACAGAAAGGAATGGAAAAGGTCCTATGCCAGAAATGGAAAAGAAGTTGGATGCCAGGTCAAACTTTCATTAAACACTTAATGGGCTGGAAAAACACACTCTCAGCACAAAACTCTTGCTCTTCCTTGGCAGTAAGATACACCTTTATTGAAGAAAGAGCCAAACTCAGCAATTTCAAGTTGGGGAGAAAAGCCAAAATATAATAGACATGATGCTGTAAAGGATTAAACTATTGCTCTGAGCAAAGTCCACAAAAGGTTTCCATTTGGATGCATATAGAAGAAGACAACATAACTTGCTCTACTTTCTCCAGAAAATATTGCAGAAACAAATTGCAAGTTACAGGGCAGAGGGAATCAGGGTCCATGTGGAAGACTTGTCGCTGATGGACAGAAAGTAGTTTTGATGCAGTTTGGAAGGCAGAGGTACTCCCAACAGGTGTTACTTTGTGTCTCAACAGTTGATCTTGGAACTATCCCAAGGAAATTTGATGAACATCCCACTAGTAGAAGGATTCTTTGATGCAGGGCAGAACTGAGAAGATGAACTGTCCTACGCCTATATCCAGAGAAGCGGAAGGGGGGGGCATGTTCTTAAAAATTAACAGTAGATACAGGGCAATCAATAATACAGTAAAACTAAAATACCCATAATATAATTAAAATAATAAAATTAAGCAGCAACAACAGTAATAAACTGATGGAATAACTTCATCCTCCCTGGGCTTTCCAAAAGAATTCAGATTTTAGAAGGTGAAGAAAAGCCAGTACAAATGGGGGCCAGTGTGATTTCCAATAGATGACTGTTTTATAGGATAGTTAATTGCACTGAGAAACAGTGCCTGTAAGCTTCAGCCCCCTCCCAGTCTTGTGAAACTGGGGGAATTAAAGTTTCTTGTTATATTTTTAATTGGTTTTATGGATGCTTTAGCATATTTTTATTTCTAACACAAAGCAATAAAGGGAATGGGTGAGATATAAACTTTAAAATTAAATAAATTAATATAAAACCATTTATCAGTGTTTCCCTGACTTACTATTTCTAACTAGCTTAAATATTTTGAATTTCTTTATTAAGCTACATTCATTATTCACTTTTTTCCCTTTAAATTGTCTTTTCAACATTGTAATCTCTTGGATATATGTATATTCCACCAGTACTCTGACAGACTGCCTGACGCTAAAATACAGCAGAACATCAAGGTGAATCCTGTGATAGTTGTGTTGGAACTGCAAATGAGTCTGTTCATTAGATCTTCAGTTATTCAAGTCTTGGCTGTTTGATATCATTGTTATTTCTATTTTTTTTTTTAAAAATGACATATAGCTTTAACTGTTCAGTATATATTAGAGATTTGTTGAGAATTATGTTAATTATTGAAAATATAGATTCTTATTCTAATTGTTATTAAACAGGTTGCATGACTGGAACCTCTTGATAGAATTTACTGTGTTTCATTACTTGGTTACAGAATGAAAGTGAATCCAGTGAAGCTGAGGAGAATGTGGACATTGAGACTGTGGAGGAACTTTCAGAAAAAGTTAATATTGCTCGCTTGAAGGCTACGGCTGCCCATGCCTTATTGTCCAAACAGTTGTAAGCATATTCTTTTAAAAACCTGAATTGTACTTTTTTTTTTTTTTTGTAATTTTGTATTTGCAAAGTCTCAGGCTTTTGTTGTGTAATTGCTTGTCCAAATACAGTTTTACTTATCTGGCTGAGCATTAATAATAAGAAAAAATCTTCCATGTTGTTTTAAAAATACATTTGGGTTTAAAAGAAAAAGGTTTGAAGCTTATTTAATGCATGTGGTAAGATTTAATTTGCACATGCAAACAAAAGGGTTATCTCTGCAGATTACATAAAAAGAATAAAAATAAACAAAATGCAACACTAAGTGCAGGAAACAGAATATAAAATATTTAAAAAGCTTGAGAGCATCAAAGTTGGATCTAAATCTTAAAATGCAGGATGTTTTTGCCTGGAGATAAAAGAAAGAATGATATGGTACAAAGAAGGCCTTCTTGTGGAGGACCTTCCATAGACAGGGTATCAAACTCAAAGTGTCCTTTTGGTTACGGCAGTCTAATTAATTACTTCAGGGGAATGCATTCAGGGAAGGCCTTTTGAAAATGACTAAAGGGTATAAGTAGCTTCATATATGAGAAAATGTATTTTAGAAACTTTGCCTCCAAATAATTTAGGGCTCTTAAAAGTTCCACTCTAACACTTCAAACTGAGTTTGGAAACAGATTATATTCCAGGGTAGTTGCTGAAGCACTGGCATCATTTTATTACACTATCCAGTATCAGCTAGTGGCTAAGCATTTTTATTTTGGACTAGATGAAATTTCAAATTGTTATCAGAAGAGGAATATAGTAATCTGTTCTGGTGATTACCAGAGAATAGATAACAGTTATCAGGCTATTACTATCCATAAAGAACAGCAAATAGTATATTGAAAACTGAAATAAGATGTTCCTAATCTCCAGTAAAATGATTGATTCAAAAACACTTCAAGATGCACACCTCACCCGTCAGACAGATTGATCACAACTGAATTGGGTAGATTTTTGCCAGTAAAAAGATAGTATATCTGGATTGCTTATTGGTTTCTTGACTCATATCTACCCACATACAAATCACAGCATCCAATGACTTCAGATGGATTAGATGAAAGAAGGGCGTAAAATATATATATAATCTGGGTAATGATGATACTATAACACCAAATAACCTCTTTCAGCACTTTAATGTAGTTGTTCAAAAGCATCGGAGATAAACCAGAACCGCAGGGGAACACCATTTTGTTATCAGGGAGTAGAACAGAAGTCATTCAACACCACTTTCTGATTCCAGGAGCATCACAAGATTGCTCTTAATTCTGAAAGGTGATCCTGAAGAGTATAACTGCAGTGGACAATAACTCAGCCATACTCATTTTCCTCCTTTGCTCCAGTCCTTGTCTCATTCTATCTCATGCTTATCCTTGTGAGGAGATAAACTGTTTTTGGCAACTCAGTTTTAGACTGATTGGACTTACTGTGTTTTCAAAGTTTATTTTCCATTGTATGTTTTATATTTTTAATTCTTCATTTAGTTTCAGATAATACCAGAGTATAAATCCAGGAACTAAAACTGGTTTTTTTTGTCTATCAGGCACTTTGTTCGTAACCATTCTAATAAGATGACGACCAAACGTTATAAGGTAGATTCATGCTCATTCTTCTGGATTTATTTAGTAATGTGTATTCTCAGTCTATAGATTCACTAATTTATTATCAGCTATTTCTAAGGATAGAATAAAATGTGATGCTAGCAGTTAACTAACTTGTATCATGCTAACATCCTTTCCATGATATTTTGCCTTATTTGTGTATATTTTTCTGCTGATAATCATGTGGGAATATAACCTTGGCAGCATTTTTTTTCTTCCCCTGTGTATAACTGGCCAGGCTGAAGTACGTGCTTAAGCAGCACAGCAGAAAGGAGATGGTTCACGGTGCTAGTTGTTACAGAACAGGCATTGGAAATCTCAGTCCACAGACCCAGCCCGTGGAGGTTTCCCATTCAGCTCACAAGCAGTAACAGGGAAACAGGAGCCATTCTCCTAAAGCCCTGACCCTCTCCCCCAGACCAAGAGTGTCCGTAGGAATAGAGAAACAGTCTTATTTCCAGTCAGCTGCAGATTTGAGATAACCCCAGTTTTTATGATCCAGAAAGAATTTTTAAAGCCTGATGGCTGCAGGATGCATCTGTGCCATACGTTGTTTAGTTATAATTATCAGAACAGGGTTGTGCTGTGTTGTATTTTAAACTGTTCACAAGAGCAGATTATTTTGTCTTTTCATAGCAGTCTGAGTTTTCAAACAAAAAGTTAAAGAATGAAGAGGAGGCCTTTGCTAACTATCGACAAACACATACAGCAAACGAACGTCGCCGTCGAAAAGAAATGAGGGGACTGTTTGAAAAATTGAAAACAACATTAGGATTGCACACTTTTCCCAAAGTTTCCAAGTGCTTCATCTTAAAACAAGTTAGTATTTTATTTAATAGTGCCAAGTAAAAATACTGGACAGAATTGGTTTTAAATATTAAAAAAAGATGAAAAATCTTGCTTAATAATTGATAATAAGCTTACTTATTGCTGTGCTTAATATTTGTTTGTTTGTTTATTTATTTATTTATTTATTTAAATTTATTGGCTGTCCAGCTCCAGTGAAATAATAGTCTATTTCAAGTCTTTTTCAAGGTAGGCTCATTGCTGGTGACTTTATGGACACATCTGTAATTTTCATGGAAATAGTGCATTGTCTTTTTCCAATACATTCTTTAAACTTCCCAATCTAGTTTATAGTCCTGGTATTCCCTGTTGGGCTCCCATCCAAGTACTAACCAGGATTCAATTCTGCTTAATGTTTTGAGATCAGTCTAGATTAACTAGGTGGCAGCATCTGATTAAACTTATTGGAGACTGGAAGTTAAGCAATGCCATGCCTGTTTTCAATTCTAGTAAGTATTACTTTTATAAAATAATACTTTTTTTTTCAGGCGTTTGAAGAGATCCAGGGTCTAACTGATCAAGCAGACAAACTCACAGGACAAAAGAACTTATTGTTGCGCAAGCAGGACACCTTGATTCGTAAAGTATCTGCACTTTCAGGTGAGATGTCAGTGGGAATGAGCAGAATAAAATCTGAATTGGCTCCTAGGATAGTGAATCACTGGAATCGTTTCAGGTGGTGGGGAATGCAAGAGTTACATGCTACATCTAAAGTGTAGATTGTCAAATACATGAATGGTCCTAAGATAGAAGCTGGAAGCTGCCAGGCTCGTGATGGGGAGAGAGGAAGACCTTCAAGGAATTAGGAAATGGAGCTAGGACCATAATATTTAATGAAATGATTTGGTTATGTAATGCAGTAATATTATATAACTAAGAGCCAGTTTGGTGTAGTGGTTAAGATGCTGGCCCAGAAACCAGGAGACAGTGAGTTCTGGGTCTGCCTTAGGCACAAAAGCCAGCTGGGTGACACTGGACCAGTCACTCTCTCTCAGCCCAGCTCACCTCACAGGGATGTTGTTGTTGTGGGGAAAATAGGAGGCAGGAATATTAAGTATGTTCACCATCTTGAGTTATATATAAAAATGGTGGGATTAAAAATAAAATAGACTTCTGTAAGCGTGGAACAGAGAGAAACCTGACTATACTTTCATCTCTAGGAAAGACACAAGAAGTAGTCTTGAAGAAGTTAGAATACATTTATGCTAAACAGAAAGCAATAGCAGCTCAAAAAAGAAAGCAGAATGAACAAACAGAATCTATGAAGATGATTGAAACTATGGAAACTACTAGTCCTTCGGTGGAAAATGGTCCCAGTTCTGTCCTTAGAGAGGTGAAACCAGTGGTTTTATCCAATCAACGTACAAAACCATTGATACTTTCCAGGAAAGGAAACCATGTCACAGGTAGGCTAAAGAGACACGGGTATAATTGATCTTCATACAAAGAAAGCATTAAGTTTTTAACCATAGGATATTCCTGAACACAGTGTATCTCATGTCTAGAATGCATTGCTGTATTACACAATTACAACTTCAGTATTAAAAAGAAGTAAGGTACAGGTGGTCCTCGCTTCACAACCATTCATTCAGCGACCATTCAAACTTATGATGGAGCTGAATGAATGGTAGTTACAACCAGTCCTTGTCGCAGCATCCCCATGGTCACAAGATCATGATTTCCTACATCCCTTACTGGCTTCCCACAAGCAAAGTCAATGGGGAAGTCAGCATGAGGTTGGAAGTCATGGTCACATGAAGTCCTTGCTTAATGACGACAACTGGATCTGTCACTGAGCGGCATGGTCATGTGATGTCACGCTTTATGACCGTGTCACTTAGTGACAGCAATTCCAGTCCCAATTGCCATCATAAATCGGGGACTACCCACTGTTTATCAGCATAAGAAAATAATTATCACAGAACTCCACTGTAGCTTAGCCTGTGTGAAATACTATAGTGTTACTGCAAGGTTGCTTTAATGTTTTCTTTAGATTTTGTTTTCATGCTTTTAATGTTTAAAATTTGCAGTGTGCTCTGAAATCTGCTGTAACTAGAAAACAGTAGTAGTTTATGTTCCCAAAGCGAATGCCAAGATAGATAATATTCCTAGTTATTTATATACTTATCCCAACACTCCTTTATTATGGCTTTCTTACAGGAGACCTACCTCCTTCCATAACATTAACAAATGCCAACCTGGTAGTGACTACAAATGGCCAGGTTCTGGCATTCAGAAGCTCATTGGTGCCAAGGCAGGTTACTACCCTGTCTTCCACACTTCTACAAGCCAAACTCAAATCAGAAACTGAGAGCAATAATGAGACAGTGCAGTCAGGTAAGATGAAAAAACAAGTGAAAAAATTAAGTTGAACCTGGCCTTACTTCTGGCATGAAGCTTATTAAATTGACAGTGTCCACAAAGTGGAAAGTATTATCTCGTGTCTCATCTACAGGTAGTTCTCACTTACCAGCTATTTGTTCAGCAACTGTTTGAAGTTATGATGGTGCTGGAAAAAAAACTTTATGGCCCATTTATTACCATTTACAATCTTTGCAGTGTCCTTCAGTCACATGATTGCCATTACAGTCAGTACACATTCTTCTGTACTTTTCTCTTCCCCCCCCTTGCAGAGCAGAGAGATTGGAGAGAGGAATTGCAAGAAAGTAAGCCGTTCGCTCTTTTACACATTGAAAGCAATGCAATTGCGCCGGTAGCCCAGGATTTGGAGCCACGGGTATGCTACGCAAACAGCTTACAGTACTCTCTTGAAATCTGTTTCTCTCCAATCTCTGCTCTGTGAGGAGGATGGCGAGAAAAAAAGCAAGTGATTTCTTTTTTTTTAATAGTAATTTTATTAAAAATTAAATTACAAAGATTAAAAACTCATACAAACTTTAAAAATAAAAGAATTTAAAAAATAGGTGCAGAAAAGAAAAAAGAAAAGAAAGAAAAAATAAGAATATAGTAAAGAAAAAGAAAATATATAAAGAAGTGACTTCCCTTTCATCACAAGTATAAACAATTTTAGTGATTTATCACCTTCTTTTAAAATACAACAAATGATCCCTTCTTCCCATATCCCATCTCTTATCTATAAACAAAGCCTTGTTGCTTCAGTCCTGGTCAGCAGAAGTCCATTAAGGGTTCCCAGAGATAACAACATAGCTATTTTAACCGTGATCAAATAAACCAGCTTTATATTCCTTCCTTTTACTTAACC